CTACTTGCCTCTGTAGAAAAAGGAAAGCCTGAAGCCTTCATAGAGGATGAAGGGGATTCTGAAGATGTCCTTCGTGCCAGTAATTTTTGACTGCAGATTTTTAAATGTGCCGAGTTAAAGGGGTAAACCAAAAAGGGTTTAAACACCAAACTTCGTGGATACAGTCAACTCAAGGGACTTCAAAAAAACCAGTTACAGAAGACTGTATAATGCCTGTGATACGGGCTACACTATGAAATTATATGATGGCTTATGCCTCCTGCCTTAATCCATTTCTTCGACTATTGTTCATATGCTTGTTTCTCCGTCAAGTTTTACTTAGTCTACTCTGCTACTAACATTATTAAAATTTTATTATTCATTCATTATTCTTTCAAAGTGGCTCAGGTAATAAGCCTCATCAGATAATACAGAACATCTGGGCCTCAGTGTTTCACTGAAAGCTCTAACTAGGCATATATAACTGCCCGATATCAGTATATCTTGCAACTGAATTAAAATAACACAAAAAGGTGCATAACAAGGAGATGCAAGTCTGACAGCTTGATATAAATTCCTATAGTTACAAAAGAAACGTATAGGTAGCTAAATAATTTTAAATGCAAAATTCCTTACTTTGACGAGTTCTTTTTGAGCCCATATCTGAATTGGTTCCACCTGCTGCGGGGTCTGAGTTTGAATTCCATATGTGTTCAGAAAAACTTGAAGGCTACAAATGAAGTAATGACAAATTCAGTGACAAATCACAGAAGAGCCTTAGCTTTAACAATTATCCTGGCAGCAGATACATGAGTAGCAGTATTATATTCTACATCTCCTTGAATACCTTTAGAAATGTTAAGATACCTATTGCTCAACACTTCCCTAATTCATACATTCTTAATGAAAGTAAATACATACCGCTGACTTTCTGCTATCAGGGCCACGTGTACTACCAAATCATTTTCTAAAGGACCCTAGAAAAGAACGAAAAAATATTTATTAGCATTTACTAATTAAATACTTTGTTAGATATAGCATGAATAAGGACAATGTCTATTTAAACAATTCACGAGTATGACAGACATCACTGTCTGCATTGATTTTTCATACTGTGTGAACAAATTGAAAGAATAACACAGGAATAAAACTGGTAAATCGTAAAATTATGGGAAGACTGTCCTATCCATAATACTTTGCAAGATGCATTTTTGAGAATTAATTAATTAAACAGATAATTGCCACTGTTTGGTTTGTTGTTTTGTTTTTTAATTAAAGACATTCTGCTTCATGCAAAAATTTAGAATTCATACCATCAATGTATTTCCTTTATGCCTGGTGTGACATAGTGTTTTGATACACATGTCTGTAGAGAGCGAAATAACACAGCACCTTAGGTAACTGATAATACTCACTTTAAAATAATGAACTGATGATTTCAACCCTTTACTCTGAAATGTTTTGATCAGACAGCTACTGTACAGTTGTATGAAAGATATATTACATTTTACAGGAGATAACAGCATTTCCTTGCATTGTTTATAACACGGATACTTCACGTGTGAAATAAATACTATTATTTTATGTCACGAAAGCATGCAAAGAAGAATGAATTCAACATGTTGGGTGGAATCACTGACTCGACTCCCTGGGTCTTGAAATGGCAATTCACACCTTTCTTTTCACTGGCAGCATGTATTACAAGCTAAAAAGTGAGATGTCCAAGTTATTCCTTGTTCATTTCTTCTCTGGCATTCAATGACTGTAAAGTCAAAAGAATTAAAAGCAGCACACGTTTTCATTCCTAAAATGCTTTTTTGTCTACTTTTGTCTAGAAACTACCAGAACATTAATGACAAAAGTTAAATACATCTTCTATTGATTGATTATATAAGAATATAGCATTTTCTGTGAAGATAGATGGATAGACGTATTCATGTAGAACAAAAAGTTCAGAGTGAATGCTTGCTTATTCAGGCACCTGTGAGTCTTGACACCAAGTTAGATCTTACAGATTTACAGAAGAAATTCTTGATAACTTTTTCCAAAAAGTCTATCAGCACTGTATTTCTGCTAATAATTTTGGAGTTTTCACCACATGAAATGAGTTTCTGATGAAAGTACGTGCAAAAAGGGACCAGATTAAGAAGTCAGAAGTTCAAGTGACTTTAAAAGATTTTCCTCCTCAGAATAAGTTGATCATGCCATCAATCGCATTTATACAAACAGTAAGAAAACACAAACCAATTCTCTACGGTAATCAGTGCATTGTGTTTATAAAACAAAAAGCAAAAGACACCCCCCCACACACCCCCCAAAAATGAAGTAGCCCCCTCCCAAGACTGTACTGATTTATAGACAGCCTGTGATCTAACTTGGGGAGTGGTCTTCAGGTGAAGGCTCAACTGAATTATTATCATATTAACGATGAACTGAGCGGGACTGTGTAACCACAGACCATAAGCTGTACAGAAACCTATGGATTGTGCATCTCTGTTGAGGTACATCCTTCTCTGACACCAGCACTAAAGCCTCTCACGCACAGATGTACCCAAGGACATGGCTCATTTATAAGCAGCCAGTAAGTAGTGGTTCTAACATGGGCCATAACTAAGCAGATCCATCTGCAGCACAACTGGCACAACACAAAATCTGTGTGAAAAATAGCTAGACTTTTACAAGTATTGTGGAAAAATATAACTAGAATGGCTGTACAACTACAGGATTGCTGTAGCTTTACATGGGAAGTTACTTTCATTGTCATTTAACATGTCAAGGCCTGAAGGATCACAGTTAGTGGTCTAGAGAAACACAGATCAAAGTAACAGATACTATACTCATTAAAAAGTCTGTCACCCTTTTCAGTAACGATATCAATAATAATACAGCATTTGCTATATATTTAAAGAAATGTGGAAAAGCGTTAAACTCCTAAATATTCCACTAAATAAATCTTATTGCTGTTAAAAGTTCCCTTTTAACGTGTTCGATTTCACATTTGTCTAATAAGGCAAGCTAAAGTTGTTCACACAACATCAATCACCATCTCCCCAAGACGCCGCAACACACCTCCCCACCCTAGGTTCACCCTTCTGCCTGGCATTTTCACATTGGATAGTGGGCAGAAGGATCTGTTTCAACTATATTCTGCATACTGTGCAAATGATAAATATACCCCATTTTTTTTCAGAAGACCAAAACAAAAGACAGATTAGTTGTTCTTTGTCTCAAAAAAAAAAAAAAATAGTTTTTAACAGGGTTATAAACCATTGGAAGCAGGAAAAAGGGAAAAATCCCTGACTGCATTCCTGGCATGAGCAGAGAAAGCAGCTCAGTATTAGCCTTTTGTTGCACTCTCACTGGACAGATGCTATCACTATATGCATTTCTGCACACATTCCCAGGAAATCTCAGAACTCCAAAAAAAATCCATTCATTTTGAAAATGTGAGAAAGTGGGCACAATACTCAAAACACCTATTAAAAGGGTACCTACTGGGCTTTCCAACCACATGGAGCAAGATGAGGAAAACAGAAATAGCATGCAGCAGAAGAAATTGTACTTAACCCAAATAATCCACCTTGCTGTTACAAAACTACAACTGAATTGTTACAAAACACATCTGCCTCTAGAAGCATCTAAATACTGCTGAACAGTTTATGGTCAATGCTACTAACACACCAGACTTTTTAAATAAAACACAATATATACACACATGCCTAACAATCGCAGAATTGTGTTAACTGTGGTAGACAATTGTATTAAGAGAAATGAAAGCAAGAATATGCCTATAATTAACATTACAAAACAAATCATTCAATGTGATACATCTCTCTCAACCATCAAAAGCAGGCATGCTCTAAGCCTAAACATAATTTAGGTAGCTGAAAAATCTTAATATAATCTCAGTCTACCTACACTCACTAATTTTAGTTCCTTCTTTACACATTATCTACTTCCCTGAAAATAAAAAGTCTATCATTTTGACTATTCTTTTCCCAGCATCATCAATGAGCATTAACCTTAATTTCCAGTAACTTGAATTAAGTCCTCACAAATGATTACTAAGTCTACAAAGCAAAACATTAAAAGAATACAATCACATGCAGTCAGAGAATGTAATTATTTCATTGCAACCCTATACATATATTTCAAGTTAACCCAGAAGATAAATTAGTCTTACTTTGAGAATTTAGGAACATTATAATTTCTTGTTAAATACAAAATGAAATATGACAGCAAAAAATCAGCTTTTATATGCTCCATGAAAACAGAAAACAAAAACCATAAAATCCCCACCCCACCTCACTTCTCAAATGCTACTGTACAGGCCCTCTTATACACTAAATTCTCCCAAAACAGCATGCTGTTAACATTATAACACTTAAAACTGTGTTATAATAAAATCTCTCCTGGATATGGAGGCAGTAAAAAGGAATAATAAAATAAGCTCTTGTAAGGAATCCAGTTCTGAAGATTTATCCCCACTGAAACAAAATTCCCTGCATTCTTTCAATTAAAGTAAACGGAGCATAGCATCATGTAGGTTCGAAAAGACCTTTAAGATCATCAAGTCAAACGATTAACGTACCACTGCCAAGCCCACCACTAAACCATGTCCCTAAGCACTACATCTACACACCTTTTAAATACCTCCAGAGATGGTGACTCAACCACTTCCCTGGGCAGCCTGTTCCAATGCTTGGCAACCCTTTTACCTCAACAAAATTTATATACACAGGCATCTGAAGTTTTTATATATCCTTGTTTACTCCTTACAGGAATGAAATTTAGTATAAGTGGAAATACTTTTCTATTCAATTTAATTGAATAGTTCTTTAGCTATGTGGAAAAGAGAAGACATCATTAAAGAGAAGAAACTACTTTTGATTTCTGAAGACATAATTAAGATGTGTTGTGCTTCATTTCGTATTTTATTTTTAGTCATTTCCTAGCACTTTAAGGCAAATACCAAATACTGATCTTACATACCTTAGCTCAATTAGATAAAATGGCATAATCAAATATTCAGACAAAATGTGGATTAAGAAAAGTCAAGGTCAAGACTCTAAGCTGGAAATTGAAGTTTGCTGACTTTAACTGCAAGACCTTTGCTGATAAAGCACACCTCACACATTGATACATCTATGCATCTGTCTTTCATTTCTTAACCTTCTGTTAATGATGACCAATCTGAATTAACTTCTGTATCAACAAACATTTTGCCTTGATACTAATTTAATAGTAAAAAACACACGAAGTACAGCAGTGCCTGTTTCAGTACAAACAATCCCAATGCAAATTCCACAGCCACCCGGTTAGCATTGCAGGGACACTAATCATTCCGGTCACAACTTCCACATTGCTGCTCAGAGGCTACAGCGACAGAGGTCTGATGCCATAGTCGTCTAGATTTCCGACTAATTCAGAAGTACCTCTCTGTCTTCTAACCCACCTTAAGAAGCACATGCAGTATCTTCAATAGTTTTATCTAATACATATCAAAGAAGAGCATGCACAGTCATCTGTACCATCACTGGGAAGAACAGAGGTATAAGCAATCCCAGAGCTGCTTGCTTTCTTCATTTATTTACTGTTCCACCTATATGCCACCAAACAACAGACAACATATCTCACAACCTTTTGAACACAAAAGGATATGCACAAGTACAGGAATTGCTGAACGTATTGATCTAAGTCAGATTTCTATAAAGATTTTTAAGTTTAAGAAAAACAAGTGATCTTAGACTCTCTTGATTTCTAGCTTTCAAATATAACATCAGTCTTGTTCATCAGAATACAGTCAAGGATCACCCTGGAAGGTCTTCTCTTTCTCTTTCTCTTATCCTGACAACGAAAACATTATTGATCCCAAATACAGAAAATTTCTGCCAAAGTTTTAGCAAAGTTAAGCAGCTAAAGACAGCCTTTAAGGGGAAAGATTAACAAGCTTCAGCTCCACCAAGTTGTCAGAGAAGAGCACAATTGTTCTTTCAAATAATTCTAGCATATAGACAACTGTTGAGCACTGAAAGAACAGGACTGTATAATGAGCACTTGAGGATGACAAACCATCTAGTCTAATCTCCCTTTTAATGGTGTCAAAAGCTTTTTGTTTTTCATCATTTGCACATAAAGCAAAGTATCAAAATGTAGCTGTTTTAAGTTATTTTCAATTCTTTCAACACTGTTGAGCTTTTAGAGTTCCTATTACGTTGCTGAATTTTACTAGATAACTGCATTTTACTAAGTAAGTTCTTTATTGACCCACAAAGTGACCACCAAAGAGTAAGTTACGAGAAAATAAGTCATTATTGCATTATTATCTCTTTTGGGAAACTCCCAAGGCAGAGGCTATTTCTCTCTGAAGATATGGAAATTCCCCATCATATAATGGGTATCCCCCCAAAAACACTAAAAATGGTTTTCTACTAAAACATGTCCTGATGAGTCATGCAGTGTTTTTAGAACAAACTACCATAATCTTCAGAGTGTTCATCTGTAACATATTAAAAGTTATTGCCTTCAAGAATCAAATAAAAAAAAAAAATTGATGGGCTACATGCAACAATGACTCCACAGAGGCTTCTTCTAATGGCACTCCTAAAAGGGCAGCTGATACCGGCAGTTCACAATTTCTGTAGCATTCACAATCTCACGATGCAAGAACAAAGAAACTGGCAACAAATGAAGTCACCGAGCTTTCATTATCTCCTATTAACACGGCAGAAGTGCTGCACTGTGAACAAAGAAAGCCTCACTACGACTGAGACAACACTCAGGCACTTGGATTACCTTGGTAACAGAAAATAGTAGGAAACAGGTTTTAAGCAGCATTTGGATAGTACAAGAAAAACATCGTTCACTTCTGATCTTGGAATAAATCTCAAAATAAATGCTTCATATTTTATGCTTCAATAACAAATCCACAATGCTGCACAAGGAACTTTTCAAATATATAATCCTTATACCAAGAAATAAAAAGGCTGAAAAACATCTCGTGGCTCCATATTTCCATGTGTACAGTTCTTACCTCTTTAATAAAAGGGGTCTCCTACATATAGACTATGTTTCTGTCTTGTTATCCTACCCACTGCAGATTTGAATTACAATATTTCAAGCATTCCCCATCCCTGGGGGACTCATTCCTG